AGCAAAAGCAGTGACATTCAGAACAGTCTAGGTTTCACTCCTCTACATAGTAAAATCAATAACTTAAACCTATTAAAAAATTAGTTGTTGTAGCCTATGGCAATCGCGTCATTGCTCCCTTTTTAAAAAATATCAGCTTCCATATCTAAAAAACTAAAATAACAGTCCACATTTTCATAGTCCAGTTGAATTGTGCATGTTTACTGAATTTTCTGATAGATATAACATCCTCTGATGTTCATGGAAGTTGATAAGAATTGATGCATTGGTGAAGGGAACACACAACATGTGCTTTATTACGAACTCGTAATAAGTATTTAGCTCATACGTACAGCAGCTGTTGCAGCATTATCAGCTGACAGTTGCAGCAGCAACAGCAGCTATTGCTGCTTTTACTGTTTTAAAATCACGAAAAACCGTTATATAAACCGTTATATCATGGTTTTAAAACCATCAAAAATTATAGAATTAAATCATCCTGCATATTTTTCAACGTTCAATAAGAGTGATGATGTAATAAATTAAACTTTATTGGCAAAATTAACGAACCTTATACCCATACATAAACATTCGTTCCATACATTTTATTGTTGGTCGTTGTGTCGAGTAAATATTAGATAACAGTTGATAACTAACATTTCCATGTCCTGGTATCTACTAAAAATCTGTTATAGTTGTTTGTGTTTGAAGCCTGGCCCCACAAATAAATAGGGACAGGTAGGGTAAGTATCACATATAAATACGATACACACCACATATAAATAGGGATAGGTAGGGTGTGTATCACATATAAATAGGATACACACCACATATAAATAGGGACAGGTAGGGTAAGTATCACATATAAATAGGATACACACCACATATAAATAGGGACAGGTAGGGTGTGTATCCAAGATACTTATCGCGTCGGAAAATTACCTGCAGCTACAAGTTTATTCCATATAAGAAATGGTAAATGGGATGGGAGGGTTGGATCATAAATAGAAATTTGATTTTAAATGAGGTTTTATAAATTAAATTAGAGAACCTATATTGAATGCTTTCCGCGTTTTTGCAGGAGTTAAATGGGAGTTCTATGTTCTACTGATAATGTGAAATGAGAGTTTTGATCATTTTTTTAGCATACGCATGTTTTATTCTTAACAAAGAGTTTTCCTTTATTAACTGCTGAAATTATAAACCCCGAGAAACACGTGACTAAATAGCTAGCATTGAAAAAAAAAATTCAAAATTGAAATTGAAAAATTCGAAATTATTGAAAAAATTATTCAATATTATTGGCAGAATCGCACCATGTTTAATATCATTCAAAATTATTTTTTTGTCGCCGCGTTTCCGAGTTCTCGTCTGTCTTAAGTCTTAAATGCAAATTGGAGTGCGATTGCAATTTTGCCAATTGCAAATAAGGCAATTGGCATAACAAAGGAAAAAGTGAAATTGGCGACGTTTGGGACTCAGAAAATTTGAAGGTATTAGAACATATTGAAATTCTTTTTATAACTGAATGAAGGAAATCCTGAATAAAGAAGCATAAAGGACAAAAATGCCTAATGATTTAATAACTCGAAACAAAACTTAATACCGAGAAAACATCCAGATAGGATAAGTATATAGAGAATATATGCGCTTATATAGCAGCCTTCATAAATTTGTGTGGTTACAGACTTTAAACTCCGACGCCTAGAAACTTTCTGACATTTATATGCACGATTACTGTTAAAATAATCAAGAAAATTATACCAAAATTTTCAAGCTTTTTTATTGGTCGCTCACTTTCAGCCTACAAGCAATAATGAAGACAAACACATTATCTATTTACAGTGGGAAAATATTCCTGGCGAAACCTATTACGCCAGTAGCTTAATCTATATCAATCATCCACTACTTTCTGATGCACTATATATGTGCTGGAATAGCCATTGCACGACTCAATTCTTAGCTCAATTTCAGATGTACGATTTCATTGTGTTCGACACACACGGTGTCGGTCGGTACGTCTTCCGCTGCACTGCATCAAAAAGTTCAATTGTATGCAGTGGCTGTTCGATGGATTTGAGATTTACTGGAGTATTCTGGATACATAAGGTAGGGAAATGAAAGCACACAAAGTCGATGGCAGGTCCAGAAGTGCATACACAGTTCAGTGATTCTGTTCTGTTAGCGTCCCATACATTGACTGCAATCCATTCATGAGGTAGTGGAACAGAAACGCCTCATATAGTGGGTCTCAGTCATGCAGATCCGACCACCGCTTAAGTCTAGCAAGTCATATTGACAATGTCAGCCGTGAAGAAAATCTGGAATCGAAGTAAAGAAATACGGATCAAACATACATCAAAATTGGGCAAGCAAGGCACAATAACGATTTACAGAAACTTAACATCTTTGGTGTGAATTCTTCAGAATTTCGTTCTAGGTTCTATCACAAACCATTTTTAATGAATACATTTGCACCTGTAGAATATGAGAAAAAATGTTACTCTTCCAGCTGCGAGTTTCGTTATATGGTTTTTCTTCATTTGCAGATGAATCTCAAAAGAAAATATAACTCAGTACTCACTGCAGTGAGTGACAGAGAGCGCATTTTCTCGTCAACGAAAACGTGAAGTCACGGACGGACAGACAGACATACGGACGGACAGACGGACATGGCGAGCACAATAGCGCCTTTTTTCCACAAATGAGAAAATGTTCCAAAAAGTTATTTTTTACAATTCAATTTATATTTTTTCACATTTTATGCATGTAAAAATCGCCCGAGGACAAAAGAGGCACAAAGGTTAATATTATTAATCATTCGGACTCAGACAACTCGTCGAGCGAGTAGAGAGCTTGGGCCACATTTTCCTCCAGTGACGCACGCACGCGAAGAAGAGAAGGCCTTTGAAAACTGCAGAAATCTCGCGCAATAAAGTTCCCATTTAGGAAATCTTGTCGACTGAAAGAAATCGATCGACAGTACCTGTCGCTCAGCATTGACTGTTCCTAGAACAAATAAGTACTTGAAGGCAAGCAGAACCAGACAGCTGGGCGGTGTACCTGTGAGGTAGGAGGGAGGCAGGTACATGGAAAAGGTATAACAAGCGCACCAACTTGGAACGGAATTAGACTTTAGGAAAAGTAAAGATACGTACAAAGCTGAAGCCCCCTGCAAAGGCGAAGGATCTGTTAGACGCACAATTTTGTTCGCATGTCGTGATACAGATCAAACAATTTTAACAGAATAGGAATACAGTATATGGCTAAAGTCATAAATGAGTTAAATTAACATCTGCAGCTACGTTCGATTACATGGAATATGACTTTGAAATTCTTAGAGGCAAGTCGAAACCCGCTCCATTATTGTTTCACTCTAACGAAAAGTCATTATCAATATCATTAGAATCATTATCAATAAAATCATCAAATGATTTTGAATTTTATTATTCACACCAACGACGGATGGAAAATGAGTGATACAGCAATTACTTCCTATGTGGATCATTTATTATCAAAACTATTCAAGATAACTTAATTCCACTTGTTATCGTGGATTCTATTTAAATTAAATTAATTTGGAAAATGTTTTCAGCAGAATTTGGTGCATAGGATTGAAACGTGAAAAGAACATTTTTTCCGTTTACTTTAAATTCAGTTATTATTCGTTCAGTTGCTTCTTATCGCCCGTAAAACGCAAAATTACCTTTGCTGAAAACAAAGTAGTCTTTCATACGTATTGTATTATTGCTTGCTACGTGCTCGGTGAAGTCATGCTAAACATTACGGGCAAAGTTACGATGCGGTGTTAGTGGCTGCAACTGCGATCGCTGCGCATTTACAGAAATACATGAAAAATATGTTTCAAAGTTAAATATTTGGTTGTTAAATTTGAACAATTCTTAATTTGAGCAAAATGAATGACCCATATTACAAGCTGTGTATCACACTTTGATCACACTCACTAGCTTGAGAGCACCGACCTAAGTGTCTAATTTTGAGGATTGAATCCTATTCTTCACCCAAAAAGAAAGACGAAACAGGGCATAATTGCAATTTTACAGTTGAATTCTAACAGTTGCCCACGGAAAAGAAAAAGTGAGCCAAAGATTGCATTGCACTGAACTTGGAATGGCTGAATAGCAGAATAAAGAATTTTATTAAATTGCTACAATATCAAAAGCATATTATTAGGAAAATTAATAGATGAGTGATCCTTATATGATTAATATCGCAGATGCTTGACTGCACTCATTCCTTCAGTCGCACTTGGTATTTTTAGCGGAGTGTATTTCAGAAAGCACCTGTTTTTCGATTCTATTAGTATGAATAAACCGTGAACGTATTACTTACCTGCATAAACTATTCATTCCATTCGTTTCATAAGATAAGGACCTTATCATGTCGCAATATTCATTAAATTTATACGGAATCAAAAACAAACGTTTTCGAAATGTAGGACGAGCGACTGTAAAATAAAAAAGCCCGCATGGAGGCGGGGCTACGGCGCAGTTAGAAGCCGCTACTGGGTGGGACGGTAGCGGTCGAGTGGTTCCCACGTTGCAAAAGTTTCTGCGCGCAAAATAAAACAGCACACAAGTTGTTTTGTCTTGACATTTATGGTGCAATATTTGACATAAGTCCAAATAAATGAATCTTGGTTTATTCAAATTTATCGGTAGCAACTTTTTGCTAAATAGTTCATAGAAATGAACTAAGAATATGATACACATTTAGGTATTTTTCTGACCGCCTTTCGGCTCATCCTGCCACACGCCCGCTAGTTTAGAATGTCGTTAAGAACGTTTGTATCTGCTTTCAAAAATATTCTAAGAAAATTCACGGAATTCACATATGATTGTTTTTTCTTCGTCGTTGTCAGAATAGATTCTGAACGTTTGGCATTAAAGGAAGAGCCTTCGTTTGAACTTCTATACAGTATGATAAGCGGCATAGCGACGCGTGGCGAGATAGGGGCGTCTGGCAATGCCCACGCTTAATAGAGACTGCTGCCTGGCTCAGTGGTCATTCCGCATCAGGCTCTTGGCGTGCTAGGTTCGTCGCTTTACCTCCTGATCTGAGTTGCATCGAGCCTCTTTCGTGACGTGAACATGGTGTCTTCCATTCATGCGGAGCCTGTGTCACGAAGTGACCAATACAAGAGGGTTATGAAACCTTTATTGGAAAGAAAGCGCCGCGCGCGCATAAATCGGTGTTTAGATGAACTTAGAGACCTTTTAGTATCTGTGCTTCAGTCTGAAGGAGAAGCTGTCACGAGATTGGAAAAAGCTGATATCCTAGAACTAACAGTACGACATGTACGAAGATTGAGTCAGAGGCGACGGCTTGCCATTCCAACTCCTAGTTCGAGACAACAAGAAGAACGAGAAGATGTCACGAAGTTCCAGCAGGGATTCGTGGCAGCTGCGCAACAGGTTCACACATTCCTGATGAACACTAACAGTTTGGAACCTGCTATATCTTCAAGACTCCTCTCCCACCTTACAAGTTGCGCCACATCTATAACTCCTACACCGCCCCCTGTTGTGTCGCCTAATTCGCTTCCTCAGCCTCCACTTCCAGCATCAAATATTCCCGTTCGTGGACAATCTTCAAACGTGAAAGCTGTTGTTCCAATTCGCTCTCCCGTAAACCCATCAGCAGCGGTGAATCCCAGTATTGTGCCTGCCGTGAATTCTTCAGGTGTCCTTGCCTCATATATTCCTTCAGGATCTAAAAATTTCTCAAAACCATTGGTTCCAGGTGTCGTTGACCAACCGATTAACTCCCAATGTTCTGTACCGTACCAAATTCGCATGAAAGCAACTAATCAACAGCTTGTCGAGTTGAGTGATCAGAAATCATCGAACACTATGCTTACTCCCATCAACCGTGATATCCCCATGCCAGCCGTGGCGCCCTCTCCTTTTATTGACGTAGTGTCAACAGAATACGAATTTTCTGAACCAAGCAAGTTGGGAATTAAATCTGAATTCTCTCTACGTTCACCTCAAGAACCTAACTTCACTCTTCAACTTCACGCCAAGTTCTTGCCGCGAAATTCATCTCCGAGGATGTTCGACTCGCCTGGCAGTGAAACCGACTCTGACAGCAGTTGCGCGTCGCCGAGCCCTCAGGATCTCTCGATGAAGAAGAACATCGAAGAGTCAGGTTCATCCTGGCGCCCTTGGTGACAGACTCATTGACATCAGTGTAGCAAAATAGTTTTCTGCGGTGTACAAATTCATGTTCGTTCGTTGTGGTTTTAATAATCTGACTGTGATATTGTTGTACGTTACTCTATTTCTGCAGAGGATAAATTCTGTGTATTTTTAGCAAGTTGTAACTATTATTCTTCGATTCCCGAGTCAGTTTAGGTTGGAGATTTGTCATTCTTGAAAAGCCATTCATTCTATATTGAAACTAGTAGCAGTAAATTCGCGATTTTTGTTTCGTTTATTGTAAAAGTGGTTTCCTGCCTCATGTTTTTAGTTATTAAACCTTTATTGCTGCACTGATGAGGTATCATGGTGGCGTGTGTAACATCTAATTAATTTACTAGTTTAAATTTATTCACCGGATCGTTGATTGTAACAGTTCCGTTTAAACTGATATTTGATCAAGGTAATAATTATTGAGTCGCTTGAACAGCTGAAGTTCATCTTCGTCGATAATTTAAATGTAGTTTCGTTACGTTAACCTTCGTTGCTGGTAATATTCTGAATCATCAACGAGTTAGCCTGGGCTTTTTTGGCCCATTATTTAATTGGATAGTTTCTTGTTTCCATTATTTGCGACCATCGTGTACAAACCTTAGCTTATAAGGATAGCTATGCCTGGTAAAATGATGGAATTTTCATACCTTTTCTTTGTAGCTGTTTTCTGTGATTATACGAAAAGACAACTGCTAATTTTTATTCTCCTTCAACATAACTCTAGCAATGTTTACGAGCGAAATGAAGGGGTCTTGAGTTCAGGAACTTGTCGTGAAAATAGAATCTGAAAAGGGCAAAGAACCATGGCAAAACTCGACGGAGTCTTTCTGCCAAAATTCATTTACTGTTAAACAGAGCGCCGTTGGAGTATAGAGAACATTCCCAGCTTCCTATAAAGGCGCGAGCACGATTCTCAGATTCGTAATAAAATTTCTATATTGGACTTTAAAAGCTGTCGCGTTCTTTTAATTTGCAGTGTTTTTTTTAATATATGAATCTCGTGTTTTAATAATTTCAATCTTGGCATAATTCAGCCGTTCGATCTACAAATTAATTAAAGAACATTGATACAAACTCTGTTTCCCCTTTTTAATATGTTAGGAACTAAATATCGCCTACGGCCGGTAAATTTGTAGGTAGTCACTTCAGCTTGTGAAGTCGCTGATGAGGTCATTAAGAGAAAAGAAGCCGAAAGTCAATAAAAAGATTACTCTAAATCATTTAATTCGGCTAAGGAAGCCAAATTTTTGCAGTACTTACTGCCCAGACTTAGGCACTTCTATATATTGAACTACACCCATGCTTGATAGTATTGGTAAACATCTATCTTAGACAGCTTTCATTACAGCCGAACGTCCAAGAATCCACTTTCCCGGCGATCAATTGAATGTTAAAACCCTCCGTGCCAAAATGACTTTGTGTAGAATGAGAAAAAGACATCATTTTTGAAAATGTATATAATTTTAACTTACAACATTGGTTAGCATAGTACTCATTCATCTACGAATATTTGTTTAAACGATAGGTACAATTGGTTCATAGCTTCCGATCACGAAAGAAAATAGTAAGTAATCATCTCTAGGACCAAGATAGCAGCCAGCCGAAAATGATTATCTCGCATCAGTCTCCCCACATCCAACTCTGCAGCTGACGTATGAAAATTTGATAATCAAAAGGGAAAACAGAAACTTAAAAAATAATGAATAAATCAGTCATTGAATACCCGTTTGCCTTACTTGCTCTAACATAGGACTAGGTTTCAACCGCCGAAAATATATTTCTACTCAAAATTACCGACCCTGGAACTGGTCTGGCTTTTCTAAATTGCTCCAATTATTTTGCAGTGTTTTCGGCACAAATTCTCGGCTTTCCCAGAGCTTTTTTTCCGCCAGACACTTATATTTTTTCCTGGTTTTATTCCACTTTTTGTTTCTTGGCCCTAACCCTAAAATAGCTTATTAACCGTTAAAATCTGAGTAAATCACTCCCCCTGGTACGATTAGATATGGTTTGTCCGAAATTATATTGCTGTTGGCAAACTAATCTGAATTCAAAAGCCATAACCAAATAATTTTGCATGATCAGATTTTGCATGATTTCTTCGATCTGCAGTTGTAGTTCCTGGTTAAGCCGCTTAATAGGTTACCGCTGCAGGAAGTTAGGTGGGAAAAATAGATCAAAATAAGAAGCGCGAGCTGTTATTCCTGCTGCCTATTTGTACAAGAAGATAAAGGACAATAAAACGATCTGAGTCCAAACAGTATATTCAACATTATATAGGTCTCTTCTCCGGTCCATAAGCATTATATTACATTTACTTGTCAATTTTTTGTTCTTAAATTTTGGGTTAATTTGCGATTCGCGCAATCTATTATATAAATTCTATTATTGTGTGAATAAAATAAAATGTTGGAGTGCAAATAAGCGCAATAAATTTTCGTCCGCGGGCAATTAAAGGGTCGTGCATTGGGTCCATCCTCGCATGGAAGATGGCAATAAACGTAATTCCTTTGATAAACTAAATACAACCGAAATTTTATTCTAATCGTATTAAAAGAATGAAATATTGAATATGAAAATAACACTGAATATGAAAATGCTGAATATACAAATATTGTAGGTTATAATGAAAATCGTTGTAGACAATCGTGTTGCAAATTCTTGTTGACAATCGTGCAAAGGTATAGTTGATGAGCAAGGGAAAGCCTGTTGCCGTACTTTATCACTCGCTTGTAGTGGCCGATTTTTCGTCTGTGACTGGTGGGTTTAGCTGGAAAACCGTCAGAGATTCGCTGATGGAATAAGAAATTAGTAAAGTTTTGAAGGTATGGCCCTTGAAGTACATGGCATGCAAGCGTGATGAATTCCGACCTGCACAACCTAGGCTACAACACCAACACTGTGATCTCACATTCATTGTACGGTTTGATCTACAGCGCAATCACCATTTTTCCTCATCGTTCGCTGTACTGCCCCTGACTCTATGCACAATATTGGCAAGTTGAACAATTGAAGTTTGCGTCACGAAGACTAAATAAAAAGTCGTACAATGATCAAACGAGATCAGCATAAGAATGGTTAGCAAAGGATAATTCGCCGAAAAGAAATAGCAAAATATAAATTTAATTACCTACTAACTTTGACAACTTTTTCGTCAGAAAAGAGTTTTGACGATTTAGATTTTAGCCGGACCGGATTTAGCCTGACCTTGTAAAAACATGCACGTCTTCTTGCTGTTCTTGTAAGTCTACTTAATCATACATAGGAATTGTACACTCGCTTAACATACTCTTATTTTGCACACCTATTCATCTAGCGTCAGGCTTACACACACTATTATTTTGATATTATATTGCATCCATACTTTTTTAATTTAACCATCAGCTATTTAGAATAACAACGTCATCGCTTGCACAATAACCGTTTCTAAAAAAAATTAGCATCTACGTAGATTAATAAAATTGAATATGTTTAATATGAATCGTTATTACAATCGACAACCGACATTCAAAAACATCATCATCCCGGAAATGAATCTAAAATGAATCCCGGAAAGATCGAAATAGCTTGGTTTGATTACAATGGAATATTTTGATTAGCTTGTGTCATTGTTACTCGTGCCCAACCGATTATATACAATTACGAAAAATTATTACATTTAACAGTGATTATTCACAATATATGATCTTTTATTCGCTCGTCATTGTTCCAAAATTCACTTTAATAAATGTCTGATGTCATTCGCGCTAAATTAATAGATTACCGAGAACCGGCATTCTATTCTGAAAACAACAGATGCGTTCATTCGTCTCGTCTTGCATCTAAAATATCCGTTAGGTTTTTACTTGAGTCGTTAATTCTGCGTCTCTGTCCACCACGACCGCACGAGCTGTCTACACCTGGTGTCTACCTGTCAACAGACACCAGCGTTAACAAGCTGCTAGAAACCTTGGCTCTTTTCTACCTATCACCCGAAACCAACCTGGGGATATCTGTTATCGCAAACCATTTACTGCGCGAGACGCTGTTTCTCGAGCGGTTTCCAGATTGAAAATATTGTTCATCTGGAAATTTCGCCAAATTCAGCGCAAAGATGCTCGTTCTATTTCAATTTGAAAATGGAATAAATTCTAACAGTCGGACGGAATGATTCATTAAATATTTTTGCAGTTTTTCTGGCATTGAAAATTGTAAAATTATTATTTTCCAACGTCCTCGTGTAAGTCTACCACCTTGAATTTATGCAACCAATCATTCCGCTGAAGTAAGGGCTCGGTCTTATATATAATATAATGTAGTTTGTTAAGAATTAATTCCGCAGCAGGAGTTACCGTTTATATTTCCGGAGTAACTCTCATTCATCTCTTACAAAGTAATGGACCACTGGAACTCATTAAGTCCAAAGTTTATTGCAGGAAAAGTTAACTTGTAAGATTTTGTTTGAAGAATTAGCTTGAGGGTGGCCAGGTATACCACCGGCGACGCGAAGCACCGGAAGCAGATCACTCGAAGAGAAGTTCTTGTGGTCACACTTGAAACACGACCACTTCAACGCCACGCAAACTACACGCTCCAAAACAATGAGCTGTCTACGCTAAAAACCTTTGAAACCAATCAGAGGAAAGCGTACGCACCTAACTGAAAAGGCTGCGGGAAGTACGATGCCTGTCGCAGCAGGACTCGAGCTGCACGGATTGAGACTAAGACGTGATGGATTTTCGTGCTCGGATGCTTGAAAATTGCGGGATTTAACTTCGATTCTTTCAACATTTATAGTTGACTGTTCTTAGCTATAATAATAATTTTATCAATAATTCGAAGTTCACGGCCACTGCATCTAAATTTAAAATTACGTCATTTACATGCACATTATTATCTGTTACCCGTAACACGTATGATTTACTTCGCGTTTTCAAATAAAAAAATTCAGTACAAGCTCCCAGCTTTTACAGAAGAAAATTTTTTATCAACAAACTTTACTATGTTTCGCAAACAGCAATCAATCTTCACACGCAAACGCTACATCAACCGGCACATTCGAGCCGTGTGGATGAGATCTGCACGTGACAAACCATCCTCGGTCCAAACGAACTTTATTGTATCATGCTTCCAAGAAACGTTAGAGACGTCAATTAACACGTCATTGAGTCGCCAAGCTCTCCTTGGCCGTGAAGAAACACCGACACCAACGCAGGTTTTAGTCCATTAAAGGTAAAATCGACAACGAAGCGCAGTCTTCTTGTATGCAAAGCTCACGAGGTTTTGCTGCGAGTAAAAGAATTAGGCTACATTTCTTAAGAAGTTGGGCTCAAAATTGCTTTGGTCGCGCCTCTGTGGGGTCTTGGTAAGAAATCAAAGCTCCTCTTCATTCAATGCGCTGCCTGTTCTTTGTACGACGAGTTTTTGCGTGCACTGTGGGAAATCATGCATGAAGTTCATTCAGGTTCTCCATTACTTGAAAACTTGGACTCGGACGGGTTTCGTTAAATGTTTTGTATGGGAACCGAGTTCTATTCAGTTATACACTTCCGTTCACACATTGTCTTCTTTTTGTACATCTTCCTTATTTCTCACTATGTTCCCATGATCTGCACATTTAACGTAAGAAATAAATGTCTTTGCACATACATAAGATGTAGTATTGCTGCCCAACTATAAGTCCAGCAGCTATCTCAATCAATCGTCAGTTA